AAAAAATTACTGTAATCAACATGTGAGAGTGTAAATCTCTGTCAAAAACTTTTATCACAATCAATAGAAAAGACAATAAAATAAATAAATAAAATACTTTTATCGCAACCATAGAAATAATACAGTAAGCACTAGGATGCATTCCAGGATGCCATAAAAGGGATTTTACAGCATGAAAATACGAGATTCTTCTAGTACAGGGTTTTTCAACCTTGGTACTGAAGTTTGGGGTTGGATAATTCTTTCTTGTGGGGGTCTGTTGTGTGCACTGTAGGATGTTTAGCAGCATCTACCTACTTATGTGCCTAACACATACCCCACCCCCAAATGTGACAACCAAATATCTCCAGACATTGCCAAATGTCCTCTGAGGGGCAAAATTGCCAGCAGATGAGAACTGTTCTAGTAGAAAATACAATTCCATTCAAGTATTATATAAACATGGAAAAACATAAAAAATAACCCTGGGAACCATGGTATGGATAGATTAGTGGAATTACAGAGGGTACAAAAGAAAAGTAGGCCAGGGATTTAAAGAGAAGGCCAAAATGACTACACTAAGACAGAGAAAGTTCAAAGGTTTTAAAAAGAAACTGGGACAGTCAGGACACACTTCTGAGACCCTACTATCTTCTGGGAAGGGACTTCTAAAAGCCAGTACCTATCATATTCTTTAAAACATACAAAATGCAAATCTCTTCTTGTTTATAAAAGCACTATGGAGGATGCTGAGATAAAGGGGATCGTCTCCTAAAATTTATGCTAAATAGCTATAAGCAGCACACAGAATTAGCGGAGGAAGAACTAAGAAACTTTGAAATGAAGGGGATAAGGAAAGCTTCAGAGTGTGAGTATTTTCATAGAATAAAAAGTATTTGCTAAAGAAATGAGGGACTAGGAGCAGAGACGGAGGGAATCAGGCAGGGTACATATGGGGAAAAATGCAGGAAGAACAATAAAGGTGAATTCAGAGAAAAATGAAGCTACTATAATCATTTACTGAATGAGCTCTTTATGTGCCAGGCATCATGCTAAGAACTTTACACACAAGAACTCATTCTAGCCTCACAAAAACTTTATGAGGTAAGTATATTATCCCTGTTTTCAGATGTGGAAAATGAGGTGCAAAATTACAGAGCTAACACATGAAGTCATAAAGTCTGAACATATGTATAATTTCTACAAATCCATACTCTTAAACTCTATTATACTGCTTTCACAAAAGTGTGCTAATTAACAATTTTTTCCCCAAGAGTTTACTTATCTTCAAGTGGAAAGATAAAAAGAAGCTGCAAGCAGAAGCATTTTGTTTTGTGTGGAAGCACACTGAGTACCTTGATAAAAACAATTCTAAGTTGTACAATGCCTGGCAATACCAAGTAAATTTTAAGAAATTCCCATTTTCCCTCCAAATATGGTAAGCCTTATCAAAAAGGAACTTCATTCACATGGATTATGAATTTAACAGAACAAAGTGGGTAAAGGCCCAAAGAAATGTTAACAACACATGCAGACACTAGATAATCTGAGGAAGAATTTTTCCCTCCCATCCATATCTATGTATAATTAACTCTACAAGTTAGGAACCTGACTGTATGTTTTACAGAGGGAGACACAGCTGAGCTTTTTAAAAATATAGCAAATAAACTTTTAACTATTACTTTTTTCTTTCATGAACTTGTGTTTTCTAAAACAAAACTTAA